CTTAGATAACGTCGAGCTTTATAAACTACTTTACCTTTACTAGGTTATAGAGGGTCTCTCTTATAAGTAGAAGGGGGTACCGGTCTAGGCGTATAATTACGTTTAACGCTTAGTAGTCTATATAAAAGTAAAGTCCCTTCCTTAGCTTCTATATAAATAGGACTAGAGCCGCCGCTTTAAAGGAGCTAGCCCTAATAAATCCCTTATTAAGGAGGTCTATAAGGGTCTTTTTTAATACTAATAGTTCCTCTCGTAATATACTATATAGCGGCTTAAATAGTAAGGGAAGCTCCTTACCGTTATCCTTTATATAGAGCGGTATTAAGTAGTCTACGCCTAGCTTATAGGGGTTTAACTTATCGGCCTCGCTCTTCCTGAAAAGTAGTAGTAGGTCGTAGAACCGCGGCGGGATAGCCTACTATAGCTCCTCTTCCGATAAAGGGCGCTTCGGTCGTAGCGCTTTCTTAATATCCGCTAAGCTAACCGCGTAGATCGATACTATAGCTATAGCTAGCCCCTTCCGCCTATAGATTTACTATATTATACCTACGAATACTAAGGCTAAGACTTCCTAGGCGTCTTATAAGTTAGGTAGAGCGTCCGGCGCTCCCTCCTTACTACTATACTAGACCTAGGACTATATAGGGCTAAACTATAGCCCCCCCTTATACGGTACTAAATATAACTTTATATATATTAACTATAGCTTCCTAAGAATTAAGGGAAACTTAAGCTAAGGGACTATATATACTACTAGTAGCTATAGGAGGCTATTAACCTTTATAGCTACCTAGGCGACGCTTTTAATAACCGCGCCCTCTATCGCGGCTAAGGCGCCCTTTATATGCCTAAGGCAAATCTTCTCTACTAGTAAGCGTAGCTTAAGGGCTTTTACTTCGTTAATTACGGCGTAATACTAATAACCCTTATTTATAAAAGCGGAGAGGAGGTAAGTTTAGTTAATAATAACTAATATTAAAGTAGGTTCTTCTTTAATACGCCTTACTAGGTCGTCCTTAGCTAGTATTAGCTTACTAAGCTCTAGGGCCCGCCTTTATACTAGAGCTAAGCTTTTCCCTCCGCTTTATATATAGCGGAGGTTCCCCTATCTCCCTTATCGTTAGATTCTAATAAGGCGCGGGTAACCTATATCTCTACTAGCCTCCTTACTAAGAGGTAAGGGCAAGACTTAACTATATACGTGCTTACGCCGTAACGTATATAGCGGCCCTCTTTACGTCGTTTACTAATTTCCTCGTAGGGTACCTACTTAGCTATCTTACCGGACTACGCCGCTAGTAAAGTAGCCGGGGTCTTACTATTACCGCGCCCCCTAGGGCGTATAGCCGCTATCCGGACGTCGCTATCTATATCGACCGCCGACTTAGGAGCAGGCCTAGGCGTAGATAGGTTAAGTAGGGAGGAGCTATCCGGCCTATTAGTCCCGCTTAAGGCTAAGCGCTTATATAGCTTCTAGAAGTATAGCGTCTACTTATATCCCTAGGCTACCTTTATAAGGCGGCCTACGTAGCCCTTATAGGTAGAGGGCATTATAATAGGGATAAGTAGCTCCTAGAGCACTAGGGAGATCGAGTTCTATAGCTAGGTAAGCTTAGCGCCGTTATCTTAGGCGGTGTGACCCGCCGCCTAGGTTAGGGTCTCTTTAAATTCTAGTAAGAACTCCTCGAAGGACTGCCCCTCTTACTAAGTAAGGGTCCGTAGCCTATCCTACGCCTTCTCCTATTCCTATATATTACCGAAGGCGTAGACTAGGTAGTTAAAGAATACTTAGGGGTCTTTCGTCCCCCTAGGACTACCCCGCTCCTAGAAGCCCGCTACTCGCTATATCTAGGGCTGTAGTAGCGTATAGAGGAGCGAGAACTAAGCCGTCTCCTTATAGCTATTAAGGCCTTATTTCTCGTTAATATAGTATTTCGCTATTAGGCGGTTAAGGAAGAAGTAAAAGGTCTCTAGCTTACTATCCTAGGTAGGCTAAGGCAGTAGCTTCTATCTACTAAGGGCCGCCTCGCGCTCCGACCTCTTAGTAGCGGGGGGCGTATCTATTAGAGCCAGCGTTAAGAGGGTATTAAGGATCCGGTATAGGGTTGCTCGTTAGTCTAGGTCTTATAATATCTAGTAGAATAGCTTTATAAACCGGGCTTATTCGTCCCGTTACTACTAGGCCTCTTCCTATAGGTATTGCTAGTATAGCTCTTCCGCCTATTACCGTAGCTATTAGTACTAGGCTTCTTCCTATAGTAGCTACTACTACTACTACTGCCCTAGTTAGTGCTGCTAAGGTTCTAATATTAAGTCTAATATAATAATAGCTTATACTATTATAGGGTAGGCAGAGGGTTATACTATAGGTGCCTCCTATTATATTATAATAATAAGCTATATAGGATCTAACTATACGCCGCGCCTACTACTACTAAATACGCGTTTATACGTATAGCTTACCTTGCCCCGTAACGCTTATCGGCTAAGGTCTAGGCTAATACCTAGACCTATACTAAGGGTAAATACCCTTATAATAAGTTATAGTATATTTTTTATTTTAATCTTAGGCGCTTAATTACTTTATAAATTAAAGGACTTTTAATTATCTCTTTTCCTTTATTTAAGACCTAAGGTAGCTATATAATTAGCTACCTTAGACTTTAGCTAAGTAAGTTATTCTTAAAGTTATTTAGTTATTTTTAGTTTATTAATCTAAGCTTATAAGGCCGCTTAATACTTAGCCTATAATAATAGCTTTACGCTTATAAGTAGCAATATATTTAATAGTATTAGGATATTACTAAGGGCTAATATAACCTTTATAGACTTTATACTCCCTTTTTATAAAGGTAACTTTATAGCCCTTAGTAAAAGGCCTTATATTTAGTAGCTCTTTTAAACTAATTTAATAATACTATGCTATCCTCTTAGTAAGGCTATCTCTTACTAAGTAACTTAAAGAAAAAGCTTTAGAAATTATAAGGATATATATATTATAGTATAAAAGGTTAAGTAATAAGGATAGTCTTAATATAATAGCTATATATAATATATTATTTATCCTTATATAGTAAGACTAAAGCTTATTAAAGAGAGAAAATCCCTTTATATATAAGTAAGGTAGTCTTAATATAGTAGCGACTATATCCTTATTAGTAAGGCCGGCGTACTAATATATTAGTAATACTTTATTAGCTACTTAGTTAATACTAGTCTTATATAAAGCTAGGTTTTTTTAAAGGTATAGGTTTAATAGCTTTAAAGTATTAGACTTTAAAGGTATTAAAGTTATAACGTAAAATTTCTTTAAGTACCTTATACTTAATAACTAATTTAATATAATTAGCGCTATGTTTTTTTATATAGCGTATTTTATCTTATTTTAGCTTACTTAGATTAGCCGTATATAGTATATAAGTTAGCGTATCTTAATATAAGTTTTATTTTAAGCGTAAAATAATATTTATATATAAACTAAGTAAAAACGGTATATAAAAGGCTTATTTTATTTCCTAACTTATATTTCTCTTTAATATAGACCTTTTATTTTAGGAAGGAATTATAACGATTAAGCTCTTATAGTTAATCTCTAAGGACTTTAACTTATACGCTATCCCTTATACTATAGAAGTTATATAGCTTTTATAAGATCTTAAATATATAATTAAAAATAGGATTACTTTTAAAACATATAATAATATCTTAGGAATACTAAGGTAGTCCGTTAACTAATTATTATATTTATAAGAAGTGCCTTTTATTTCCTTTATAATAATATTTTACTTTACTTTAAGCGACGTAATCTAAATAACGATTTATACTTATAGGGACAATTATATATATAGGGTGCGGCTATATTATATACCTTATAAGTCTATTATTTCCCTATATTAACTACTCCTATTAATAAGAAGTAGCGAAACCTAAAGCGCTATCTAATAGCGCTGTCTTTCGAAATATACGTTACTACTAAAAGAGCGCTAATATACTATAGTAGATTTATAGCTAAATAGGCTCTCTCTATATAAGAAGAAGGTATTATATCTCGTTATATAAAGAAATCCTATTATAAATATTATAGATAGTATACTTCCTTTTATAAGTCTCTTAGGGGCTTAAGATAGGTAACTAAGTAAAGCACCTTATAGCCTATAACAATAATCTTATTATTAACTATTAGAACTATATCGGGTCTTAATAGTCGGATATAATAGTAGATCTTAAGAATTTACGCTATCTAATCGACTATCTAAGTATATAACGCATTACGCGTCGAGTTCTATTACTTTCCGTCTACGATAAAGACTAAGTTAAGAAGGATTTTATAGACAAAAACAATCTACTATTTCCCTTAATAGTTCGATAATAGGACAGAAATCGACTAAAAGGAAATATTTTATCGATTATAGTTATAATTATAAGCATCGATAATTTCTATAATAATATAAGGTACTTAAGTATTAGAGCTAAGATTCTTAAAAAGCACGTCTAAGTTAAGCCGAAGAGGTTATTACTATATCCGGCGGCCGTATATGCTTATTTCAAAGCCCTAAGGCAGACTAGACGGATACTTCGCAGATACAAATAAGCCACAGAGAATTTAGAAACCTCCGAATGCCTACAAGTGCAAGATTGGCCTATATACAGCTATTTGTTACTACCTTGCGATCCTTCCCTTTTATTATTAGAGCTTCCCTTACAAGACATTAAAGGCATATGTTAACAGACACTACCTTAGGCTACTATGCATAACAGCTAGAAAGTTAGGATTTATAAACGCAAAAGTCAAAAGAGGTCGTGAGGCCGGCATTAGGAGCGCTCCTCGGGACTTCTTAGAGCCCGAAGGGCCAGCATTCTGGCGTGGCGGAAAACCCTCTTTTCGGGCTTTAATACAGCTACACCAAAGGTCTTTCTTCCCGCAATTGCTTCATTTCGAGCACCTTAATTCCTTCGAAAACTGTCAAGACGTGCCAGTGCTTTACGTTCAGAGAGACATCTTAAGAGCATTCTTCGGTATATGGCCGGACAAGAGCATCACCGATATCCTCTCGAATGCTGGCCAGAAACGAGGCAGGCCAGTGGAAGGCGTTGAAGTCGCCCGCAATAAGACATTTCTCAGGGACCTCATGTTGGTAGAGGATGTATTCGAGTGGCTCAGAGTGTCCCCTCATGTCAGTAGCAGTTGATAATGAGAATGCCATTTACCCGGAGCCAGAGTAGATCGCGCGTAGGCGTGAGGCAGAGCTGCTCTATCCGTATATCCGCATCGTTACGGACATATGAAATCACCCTCGGGGCCTGGTCTGGCTCCCAGGCTCGTTCTGGGGCAAAGGCGTGGAAGGACCAGTGCGTCTGGGTCCTATATGCCCCATTCTCTGTTTCAATCTAGGCGTTTGGTTCCTGGATGAGCACGACGTCGTAATCTCCTGCTTCTGCTAGTCGTAGGGCTATGGTATGATAGGCCCTTATTTTGGCCACGTTGGCGTGGAGAACTCGGATCGTTCCCCTGTCGCTGCTTCTTAGTGTCGGGGGCCTGTCACTCATATGGTTTGAGGCGTGCATTCTGTCGGCGCCTCTTCTTGGGAGACTCGGCACTGTCCGCTGCGACCACTGTCTCATGCTGCGGTAAGAGAAGCGTTGTGAAGTCGGGCGCCGGCGGGCGGGTAGGCGGTGGCAGCCGCTGGGGTTGGCATTGCTGCTGCTGCTGGTCCTGTTGCGTGCCTAGGCGAGTCTCGGCGGCTCTCGCGCAGGGCGACGGGGTCGGTCCTTAGGAGAATTGGGGGGAGGCGGTAGCCGTGTCCCGTTCGAGTTCCATATTGACTTGCCGATATAGCTGGGAGCCGATCTTCCTTATGGCGTACTTTTCGATCTTCGAGAGCCGCGCGAGTTGGCCGTGCGAGCGCCGGGGCCTTGCAGGACAATCCGTATGGTCTGCCGGGAGGGGCCTGGAGCAGTTCACGCACCTCTCCGGGTGCTTACAGACGTTATCGCGGTGGTCTTTCCCGCCGCATCGTCGGCAGGCCTGTTTTCGGTCGCATGCGTAGCGCGGGAGTGGAAATGCCAACAGTTATCGCACTGCGCGGGCTGGGGGTTCTTGGCGATCAGTCGGGCTAGTCGGCTGGTGCCGAAGTGCCGCCATCTCCTCTGTATCGGCGCCTCGAAAGACACAACCATCGTCACAGTGGGCTGGTCAGAGCTTTCGGCGTATCTCTTAGCCACGTGGACATCGATTGGCTCGCCGCCTGTCTGGAGCCTGATCTCCTCTTTGATAGCTTGGTCATAGTCCACGACGGCCCCCCAGATATCCGTGAGCTGCCTGGGGCAGTCTGCCACAGCGTATATGTGCCATTTCTGGAAGCCTTCAACCGCCACGGCTCCGAGGCGAGCCGCCCAGCTATCCTACTTTCCCACGAGCAGGTCTCTCGCCTCCCGGAGGCCCGTATGGCCCATCAAGTCTTCACCCGGGCGACCTGTGGCCTGCGTTCTGCCCCTAGGTTGAGGGTCTTAGCCACGAGATCTAATGGCGTGTCCCTGGAAGCCCCACGCTGGGGACGATTCGTCGAGCCGCACGAAGACACAGGTCATCCCTAGGCGGCTGGAGCGGGGGGTTCTTCCGGGGCCGTGGATCTAGGTGGACCGGCAGGGGGACCCCTGTCTGTGCCATCCCCTTCTTGGCCATAGCAGTTCTGTCTCTTCCTTGGCGGTTGTTGGCGTTCTTACCAGCGTGTGGGCGCGCCGTTGAGCGCGTCGTCCCAGTAGCTGAGGAAGCCGCGCGAGAAGTCCTTGGCGAAGTTGAGAGCTTGGGCTGAGGTGAACTGGGCGGCCGTCTGGTTGAATACAGTGCAGAATGCGCGGAATACGGCCAGCTTTGCCCGCTGTGCTTCTGTCTGGCTGGCGATGAGTCTCTGCCGGGTGGGCAACCGTTACTGCTGGGCCTCGAGGCTCAGGCAGGTCATCCGGTTCGTCGGTCTCGGTTTCGTCTGCTGCGTCTCCCATTACAGCGTCCTGTCACACACAGGATATCAGCCTCCAACAGGCTGACCCCTACCATCTACACTATGCCAAACAGCCACACCAACCATCAACATTATGCACACGTTATAGGCACCTACCTACACTCTATGATCAGATGCTTTTAGCATCTCCCAGCCACTCCTTTATGTCATCTATAAAGATGTTGCTCCTTTTCCCCTCTAGATAGCTAAATCAAGAGTTCTTCCACTTCCTGATCTTCATGCTTGCTGCTGCTCTACACCTCGTGCGATACGTCCTCTTGGGCGATGTCGGAGTCGGCGCTGTTGCTGCTTGTGGAGCCGAATGAAGAGTCGTCGGGTTGCTGTGCGCATCGTCGCAACTGCAGTTCGGCAAGACAACCGCGGGGAACCTGCCGTAGGAGCACTTCTCCAGCTCCTGGGGCGTTCGTGGGAGAAATCGATTCCTGTTCTTGGGATTTTAGTCGCGCCTAGTCCACCGTGTTAGGTGCCATGGCCGCCCTCAGCTCGCGCTGAGCGTGTTGCTGATCGCCCTTGTTAGCGCCCGAGCGTTGTATACAGCAGATTCCTTAGCGCTAATGCCAAGAAAGGAAGAATACAAGGGAGTGCGACCCACTTGAGTGGTAGTAGTAGTAGTAGTATTGATTACCGTTTGGGACATCCCTATCAGGGCAAAAGACGTGCTAGCTAGGCTAGAGAAGACTAGATTCATAGAATATTCCTGAGGCTCTGAGGTCGGTCGGAAATCCGGGGCCCTTCCCCCGTCAGCGGGTTCCAGGCACGGCAGTGAAGCCGTAATAGTGTCAGTCTTTGGCCGAGGCCGGGTGACTGAGAAAGCCCACGAAGTCATGGGCCGGCCGCAAGCCCCCTCGAGGGCCTACGGGGCAGAAAGAAAATGAAAAGAAAAAGAGAGCAGAGAGTGTAGCAATGTTAGTCGTGGGGCACGAGTAGTCGAGGTGAAGAGGGAGAGGGGGAGAGGAGGAAGGAGGGAGAGGGAGAGGGGAGAGGGTCTTTGCGCCGCTGGAGGCTGTCCTGGCCGCCGGATATGATGGCGCTGGCGATTGACGTTCTCTTGTTGTTTGCACTCACGCATGCCATCCAACCGCTGCCTCGTCCCTTTTCCCTACCGTTTTTCCCTTGTAAGGAGACCTTTTTCCTGATTTCCTTTTCCTCGCGAGCCGGTGTTTAAATGTGTAAATCACTCCAACGAGTTAGTAAATAAAGATGATGCACCGGGGACGGACGACACCCTTTGAGCTTAAGGCGCGAGGCAATTCGCAGCGACAGCTAATGAACGGCCTCGCATGTTTCTTGTAGTAACTCTTTTACGACGATGGGTCACACAATCGCAGGGTGTAGGCGTCTAGGTACGCATCTAGGTGAAGTGTTATAGAAAAGTATGTACGACATACATACACAGTATAAGGTATAACTAAATATCCGCTTAACACACTTCGTTCACCAGTTTTTGTCCTCCAGCATCTTCGCCGATGAAGCCAGCGGCCAAGAGCGTAGGCTACGACAATGTCGTGGACGTCCTTCCAATTGCTGGGCTTGCTCGCGTCGGCCGCGGTAGGCCTGGCCCCCGCGCCGGCGAAGCATTTGTGTCGCCTCTGCAACTGTGCGCCGCCGTCAATCGCGGACAACAATGCGCAGCTGCCTCCGCACCTAGTCATGGGAGATTGCAACGGCTTCCAGCTCGAGGAGGCCACGATCGGGCAGATGCAGGAGGCGCTGCACGATGGCCGGGTGACGTCTGTCCAACTCGTCCACTGCTATCTGAAGCGGACCTTTCAGACGCGGCCGTATCTCAAGTGCGTCGAGCTGGGGCTCTGCATGGTATATCGCGACGAGGAAGCTGACTCCGGCCTGCCTTAAAACCTGAAGCTCTGTTATGCAAGAGAATCCCGAAATCTTCGAGGCAGCCACCCTGCGAGACGCAGAGCGACGCGCCGGCAACGCCTCCGGCCCGCTCCACGGCATCCCGTTCACCATCAAGGACAACATTGCGAGCAACGACATGATGGAGACCACGGCCGGAAGCTGGGCGCTGCTGGGCAGCCGGCCGCGGCGGGACGCGACCGTGTTGAAGCGGCTCCGTGACGCCGGCGCCCTGCTCCTCGGCAAGGCCGCTATGAGCGAATGGGCCGACATGCGCAGCACGAACTACTCCGAGGGCTACTCGCCTCGTGGCGGCCAGTGCCGCAGCGCCTACAACCTGATGGTCAACCCTGGCGGCAGCAGCTCCGGCAGCGCCGTCGGCGTGGCGGCCAACGCCGTTGCCTTCTCCATCGGCACCGAGACCGACGGCAGTGGTAGGTGGCGAGGCCAGCCAGGGCCCTTCTTACCCCCCTGGATGTGTCTGATTCGGAGTGGAGAGCTGAAACCGTAGTTCTGACGGGGATCTGGACCATCATAGTCATTAACCCGGCGATGCGCAACCAGATCGTCGGCTTCAAGCCAACCGTCGGCCTGACCTCGCGCGCCGGCGTCATCCCCGAGTCGGAGCACCAAGATTCCGTCGGTACCTTTGGCCGCACCGTCCGGGATGCCGTCTTGGCCCTCGTCGCAATCTACGGATCCGACAAGCTGGACCCTTACACCGAGCTTCAATCCACGCTTCACATACCCGAGAAGAGCTTCGAGAAGCTCCTGAGCACAAAGGAGATCCTGAAAGAGGCCAAGTTCGGCATTCCGTGGCAGAGCTTCTGGCGCTTGACCGATCCTGAGACCAGGGACGTGCTGTTAATCGTCATCAACCTCCTGAAGACGTGCGGCGCCGAGATCTACAACATGACCGAGATCAAGGCACACGAGTCCATCATCAGCCCGGAAGGCTGGGACTGGGACTTCAACGGAACCTCAGACAAGGGGTCTGAGTACAGCGTGGTCAAGGTTGACTTTTACAACAACATCAACCAATATCTCGACCGCCTGCTCTACTCGCCGATGCGCTCGCTACGGGACATTGTCGAGTACAACCGACGCTACTCGGGCAGCGAAGGGGGCTTCCCCAACGCCCACCCGGCCTTTCCCTCGGGCCAGGACGGCCTGGAGGCGGCGCTCGCCACGGGAGGCATTCAAGACGCAGCCTACAACGACGCCCTCAATTTTCGCCAAGGGTCAGCTCGCGACGGCATCGACGCCGCCCTACAGCACGAGGGCAAGCAGCTCAACGGCCTGCTGGTGCCTCTCGAGCCGGGCCAGAGCTACAAGATTGCTGCCCAGGCGGGCTCCCCGATGATCACGCTGCCAGCCGGCGTCCACAAGGAGTCGGGCATGGGCATCGGCTTGGGCATCATGCAAGCGGCGTGGAAGGACGACGAGCTGGTCAGGTGGGGCAGTGCTATCGAGGACATGATGTCCTGCACTCAGAGGAGAAGGACGCTGCCCACCTGGCGAGGGGCCCAGGAGCGGAATCTGCCCATGAAGTAGTGATACACCTCAAGACGAAGTACCTCAGCATGGTTGTGGCTGCTTTCGTCGGCAAAGTCGTCGCCGGAGAGTACGAATTGGAACAGTTTAAACTACTAGGGAAAATCAATGTTAGTAACAGCCCCTCTAAATCTAAGGACGCACTCTAGAGCTTACCAACGTGATAAAAAGACACCCGAAGAATTCGTGGACGTTCTTCAAAAGGATTCCTCCACTCAAGTGGAATGCCAGCCGCACAACATACAATCGAACGAGGGTACAATAAACTATCTTGAATGCAACATTTATTACCCTTCAGAAAGTGCAGAGTGTAAAGAAAACTGCAGAAAGCCTGCGGAGGTTTTGAAACTCTGCGACGGCAAAGTAAGTGTCCTTTCGCAGAAGCATGTCGCAATCAGGCAGAGGCTGATAAGCGATTACAGTGCCAAAGCTGTTCTCAGCAGTGGAGCAATGAAAGAGTAAGTCGAGCCGCCCCTATTGTCGAGCACGTAGTTAGTACTAAGCTATTTTAAAGTGGTATTTCAAGTGCTACCCAAAGAAGGGCGAATCGATAAAGAAGAGTGAAACGATAAAAAAGAGTCAACAGACAAAATTTGCCCAGGAATCCGTCGACGATAACGGGTGTAATGGGGGCAAGTTGATCTACAATCCTAGAGACAAGAAAGCGCACTGCGTATCGGGGCCTGGAAATGTTACTGAGCCGCCACCGCCAAGACGGACAACTAGACGGTATCTGCTGCACTTAACACACAAGTTATTATAATCGTCGCCACGCAAAAGTCAGGCGCCAGTTGACAAATGCTTGCCAATTGACGTATATATACTAATACTTTGTTTGTAACAAAAGCTATTTCCAATCTTTATCTGTAAATGACCCTGTCCAGACCACCTGGGATTTGTCATATTTGAACCAGCTGTCGTCCGTGTTCTGAACATCTTTATCAACATTTGAGAATTTCGACATTGAAATCGTCTTTGGCGAACCGGCACAATTTGCCTTTAATTCAAACCCTATATAAGTTCCAGGTTAGATTCAAGGCTAAGGTATAGGAATTTGTAAAGCCACATACCTTTTAGCCCCCATTTATCCTGGTCCCACAACCCGTTAGAGTCGGCATCTGGGGTATCTATAATAGATACGTCATGGAGACTGCTTAGGGGAATAATACTGTTTTGGAAATTATCAGTAAGGACAATTTCTTTCGTGAAACTGCCCCCTCTAGAGGGTCTTCTCGCAATACGGGTTCTGGTGTTAAGATTATTGAAGGTAACTTCAATAACATCGAAAGTTCCGTCCCATAATTCATTTCGTAGGTGAAAGTCGATGGTTAACTTGTCAATTTTTGAGCAGATCACATTACTGTGCTGGACCTTGTTGATCAAGTCGGTACAAGAGTCTGAACCTTCAGTCGCGATTGCGCCACAATTTGTTTCTCGTGCGTTGCAATATTGGGGCTCTCTTTTTGTCCTGCGAGGATGTTTTGGATTTCCAAATATCGCACGGTAAACTATGGCGCACTGCGCAAGTGTCGCCAAGCCATCGGCAAGAGGTTGCAATAGTTCGGGCGGTATACCAGTGAAGGAGTTCCAATTGATTGCCCGCATTGCTGTATGTGCCAAGCGTAAAGCTGCGACATGCTGTTAGTACAGTTCCTTGATCTGACTGGGTGGAGTCTTACGTTGTCGAAGGCGAATTAACGGAAAGTCGCGGGTTGGTTCGGTATTGGGGTCCCAATCCAGCAGTCGTTGAAGAACGGGATTGTTTGCCGTTAGAGAATGTATGAATGTGCGAGCGATTTCATGCCGTACTCTGCCAACTGATCGGACCGCATTGCCGGAAACTTGTTCGCGGAGGCGGGCGCCTCCTCCTCTATCCCTGGGGAAGGTTATTAGTGAATCGCTATTGGCCTGGAAAGACCCCCAGTCTTGTTCGCTATAGCCACGGTTTGGGGTCCATTCCCCCGGCGCATTGCCATCCAGCAGACGCCAACTTTGCACTTGGGACCAAAACACTCCTCCTATGGCCAAATATTGAAGTCCTGCCACTGTACCCCCCAACCAAACAATGTGGGGCGATGGGGCGATGCGAAAGATAATTCTGGGTTCATTCTGATTCCCCGCTTGTTCCACTTCGTGGAGGCTGCAGCCAAGCAGAATTCCCTGAACTTCGTCATTGGAAGGATTTTGCCCTTCAAACGTGATCCCACCCTGGCTCTCAAATTGTGACGGCGCATCAGCATTATAATTTAGAGACAACCCATATGTACTGTCCCATTGAGACAGTCTCATGTAGAAAGAGCCATCACAGCCATCCGGCAAAAGAAAGGGATTAAAAAAGGAAGGAGAGAAACTTGGTGGCTCTGGTGGCGGCCGTGGTGTTGAATGATCCACTGGTTGTGCTATTGCATTGACGTTGCTGGACCATAGTAGCCAACAGGTGGCAAAGGATAGGACCCCGCGTATCATAGCTGCCGAAGGTGGTAACTCAACAAAAGTGGCCAATTCAGACTCTTTCAAGCTTAAATGCAGCTGTAGGGAATAGAACAAGGCTTTGGGTCCGTGTATTGTATCTTATAAGAAAAGCGAGGGTTTAGAGACTTGTCTCCAAAGATATTTATACATAGAGGTCAGGTCCGTATCCTTTAAGTTTTTACGCGATTAGATGTTATGGACAGTTCGGGCTATACGCTTCGATGACTATGTAATCTGTATTTTATGCAGCATATTAATATCAGCTCTAATTTCCTTTTCCCCTATAATATTATGCTATACATGTTATAATCTTTACCTTATAATCATACGGTAGGTATTTATATTATTAATAGTGGGCGATACAGCTAAATTAACGCAAATGCGTAATACGCGATACGGTAGCTATTTATATACGGTTAAACACTATAGATAGCAGGCGCGCATAGAACGATTAGGGTGGCTACATGTAATTATTACATAGGTATCCCACTCTCACTATTTGATATATCGGCTTACTTTTCAGGTTTTTAGCGACAGGTCAATCGCTCTTAGCTTAAGTCTGCGTGTAGTGCAAGTGCAGCATGTCAGTCGTGCCGTAAAGCCCCCGCCCGTATATTATGCATGATTTGACTTATCGGGTGTTATAGTGGAACGCCGAGTCTTATATATACACGTATATCTTAAGAAGGAGGTTTAAGGCAGACTTGGGGATATTAAAAAACAGGCAAGGCCGCGTATATTTACATACTTAAAACCTAATGCCGGGTCATCGGGAGGGTCGGGCACTTAATGCCTACTGCGCTATTTATATAATTGTTACACTGGCATGACTCGTAAACTGGCATGATTCCCATATTACTATTACTCTGCACATTACAGCGTTTGTCCCTTTCAAGGACAGCTTTAGCTTCCGAACCCGTTTCTTACGAAAGTGCCTGCCTCTAGACGTTCTCCGTGACCTCATTTGTGTCCTGTGCGTTGCGCTTCGCCCCTTCTCTTTTCCTTGCCAGCTTGCCGCCGCACCTCTCGGCTGCATTTAGCGGCGACGGGGGGCCTATAGTTGCGCCTCGGCAAAAGGCGTCTTTGTTGCGGAAGCCGACTCCGCTTCTCGCCTATCGGTCATTGCTCTATATAGAGGATACGGTTTTCTACTATAAAATATTATATGCCGTTCCTTAGTTATGCAAGCTATAGGGACGACGGTCGTTAAAGTCGGCGGGTTCTATAAAGGCCGTTGCGGCGTTTGAGGCTGGCCGTAAGGCCGCCTCGACGGCGTTGCTTGCTTCCCCTCACTAGCTCCCTAGCTTGCCTTTGGCTTGCATCCCTTCTTGTGTACCTTCTAGTCCTCCTTTTGGTGTTGCCTGCTGTAATACGCGACCGCCAGGCATCGGCTGCACCTCCTCGCCCCCGCCATCTCTCCACAAACCCGGCAGACCTTCCCCTCTGTGCTCTATGCATCTGCCCTTGCATTTGCTTTGCGCCTATACTTCCGTCCGCCTGCCCCGCCTCTGCTATCGTGTCCTGCATTTCCTGCCTCGCCCTTATTTCGCATCCTTCTTAGCCGCAGAATGACGACACGACCACGACCATAAACGGCCTCTCTACATGTAGGTACGATATCGGGCTCTATAGAATATCCTTTGCGACTTCGCCGCAACTCTCGCAGCGCGCCCCTGCTGCCTTCCGACACGCCGCCTCGTGCTCCCGTAGGATCGGCCTTATCCACTATAGGAATAGTGCGCTGGCTTCGTCGTCCGGCCTCGCCTGGCCTACCTGCGTCACGAGCGTCTTCGGGATGCTATGCTTATACTTGAGCTCCGTGGCCCCGAATTCGCACCAGAACTCCACGGAAACGTTGCAAGTGGCCATGCTGTAGTTGTTTTCCTAACTGCTCGATCGGTAGCTAGGGTAGACGCTTCTGCTCTCCTATTCGTGCCTTGGTGCCTCTCTTATACTCCCTTCTCTCTCTTACCCCGCAACCGTTATTATCGCTGTATTTGCCTTCTTGCTTTTTCTCCTCTTCCCGCTGCGGGATGGTGCCCGAATGGCCAATTTATTTGCCTACCTTCTTGCATGCATTAGTTCCTGGCGCTACCGCCTGCTTGCGTTCTTTGCTCTCGCCCTCTGTCTTCGTCTTGTTTGTCTCAATCCTCAGTCTTCGTTCCTCAAGGCTTTTTGCGCAACCCATGAGGGGTTGCCTTACCTGTTAACGCCAAATTTTCCACCAAAGTTGGGCCGAGATACATAGACCAATGTACCGTGGGGCGGGCCGTTCATGCCGCTAACCCATTTTGTCTCTCGCGCGGTGACTTTTTGGGTTTTGCAACAGTGACCCCTACATGGATTACATGGCAACACCGCCTAAAGGCGCATCGTTCGAGAACACCCGCGGATGGGGCAGACATTAGTAGCTGGTTTCGGGCCCCGGTGGGATAATATGTAAACGTAGATATGCCTTGCTTATAAGGGTGGAGTCTCGCTCAGGAGTATGAAACACTAGGACGGGTCGTGGACGCAAGGCGAGACAGACCTGAGGGCTGTATACACTAGGGCCACCACCCGGTCTGCTTCCGCCTTTTACTATGAAGTGACTTATGCCGCGTCGTGACCGTTCTTAGCGTACGTTCTAATACAATGTGTAGAAACCAGCTACTAATGTCTGCCCCATCCGCGGGTGTTCTCGAACGATGCGCCTTTAGGCGGTGTTGCCATGTAATCCATGTAACTGACGTGGCTCATTGAGTCATCCATCCACTTCACTTGCGGGTGGTCCAAGGCGGAAGAGATGATGGCTTGGAAGATGGGCAGCAAGTCTGTCGATATGCTAGGTAGGTGGTTGTTCCATGTGACTTTATGCGCCCACCATTCAGCCGGCGTTGTTTTTCTTGGACCATGTGCTTCGGCCCCATTGTGGGCAGAGTCTTGACCGCGCCCCAGACGTGTTGCCATGTAATCCATGTAACTGACGTGGCTCATTGAGTCATCCATCCACTTCACTTGCGGGTGGTCCACGGCGGAAGAGATGATGGCTTGGAAGATGGGCAGCAAGTCTGTCGATATGCTAGGTAGGTGGTTGTTCCATGTGACTTTATGCGCCCACCATTCAGCCGGCGTTGTTTTTCTTGGACCATGTGCTTCGGCCCCATTGTGGGCAGAGTCTTGACCGCGCCCCAGACCACATGTACGCTGCCCTCTGGTCATCAAGCTCCACGGCTCAGCCGGACGAGACTCCTGGACCTTGGCATGGTAGCAACTGACGCCGGGTATGACCAGGTACGCCGCTTCGCCCCGGAGCTCTCCCTCTCGGAACATGCTGATGGCTAGACTTTGTGTAGTCGTGCATGAATGTCATCGTACGTGATCTAGAAGCATGGCTATCGAGTACGCGGCCAGCATGGTGACTGACTTGAGGACTCTGTGCCTTGGAAATCCGACCGTCAGCTTACATGTAAGTATGCGCCCTCGAGGCTGATGACGGCGTTGAGAACTAGGTATATATGTGGCCTTTGGCAGCGACATCTTCTCGTCTAGCCAGAACATCAGATCACCATCATCTTGAGCAACCCCTTGCATCACTCACTATCTTTTCCAGATCGAATAGATTAAACCACTCTTTTTCTCGCCTGAAAATCTACCCTCTTTGTTACTCTACAGCCAGCGCAATTATAATGAGATACTCGTTTGTCCTCGCTGCTGTCGCGGCTCTTGAGTCTGTCGGGTTTGCCGCGCCCGCCAGTGTCGATGCCGGGGCCAACAGCGACGTCTTCTCCAACTAGGGCAGAGAATCCTCGACCAACGTTAGTGTCAATACCGAGGCCGGACCAAACGAGGCCGGGGGCGAGGCCCGCGGCTCCATCTTTGGCGATAATGGCGTTGTGGCAGTCAACTTGAGGCTCAGCGCCAACGACGTGGCTGAGGAAATCAAACGGGCTGACCTCCCGGACCAGGTCGTCACCCAACTTTCCGGGGCGGCTGAAAACACAGAGGGGGGCGGCAAAATAGAGACGGAACAGGACCTCGCCAACGTTGCCGGTGCCCTTGGTAAGGCCGCTGCTGATGCCACGGCCAACAACAACGCCACCCAAGCCTCGTCGGTCTTGGCATCTATCAGGGGTGTCGTGCGCAACGCCATGGGCCAGAGCGTTGCCTCGGATGTCGTCATCGGTGCCTGCGTTGTCGCCGCCTCTGTCGGAGAGGAGCTCAACGTCGTTATCAAGGTTACTATGGATACCATCAAGGCTCTCCAAAAAGCCGCCAAGAAGCCTCGGCAACCCCCGGCGGTACTGCCTCGGATATCAACGAGGGCCTCAACTCGGTCGATGTCAGCTCTGCCGCTAGCCAGAACTGCGCCTCTGATATTTGCCGCACTGCCATTGAGTCCGTCGTCGAACTACTGAGCCAGGGCAGCAACCACGATGTCGCAGCCACTTTCCTCGTGGCCATCGAGGCCCTAGGCAACCACAAGTCTGTCAACGTTAGGGTCGAGGCTGACTTTGCCGAAAATGTGGTCCCTAGCCTCAAGGAACTCGGCTCTGGCGCCGATGTCTAGGCGGCCGTGACCAAGATTGGCCAGGTCGTTCAGACGCTGAAGCTCGACGCCACGGCCGCCAAGCAGGTCACTGACGAGGCTGGCCAGGCCGCCGAGAAGCTCAAGGAGCTCCCCGCTCCCAAGGCTGCCGCCTCTGAGGGGGACAAGAACGTCTGCGCCGACTCCGCCAAGCTGGTCCGGACCAAGTGCGAGGAAGACGGCGGCAGCGACTGCGTCGCTCAGGAGGAAAAGAACAGACGGGAGTGCCTCGGGATGCCGGCCGAGGCTGCCAGCCAGAATAATGACAACAAGGGCAGCGGCACTTGCCAGGAGCAGTCGACGCAGATCTTTGACGAGTGCGTGCAAGCCCTTTCCCCGGAACTCAGAGCCGACAAAGAGGGCTGCTCCAATAAGGCACGAGATGCTCTTGCCAAGTGCGAGGCCAAGTCTCCCCCCATCACAATCAAAGACGACTGCCGCCGCCACGGCTTCGAAGCCTTTAACATCTGCAAAAAGGACAGCCCCAAGGATATCCGGCGCTGCGGCGAAGTCGGCCGCAAGGCCACGGCAGATTGCCGCGCTTCCCAGCAGGGGCAGAAGCAGAACTAAGTCCCTTTGTGGTGCACCATGGTATGTGTGTGTCTGGGGTGGGGATATTAATCTGCGGGTTGATGTAGAATGTGGCTTCTACACATTGTATTAGAACGTACGCTAAGAACGGTCACGACCCGGCATAAGTCACTTCATAGTAAAAGGCGGAAGCAGACCGGGTGGTGGCCCTAGTGTATACAGCCCTCATACAGTTTCCCCACCGCCTCGCCGATGTGGCTCCAGACCCGACGCAACATCCGAACTGTGATGCCGTCGACTCCCGGGGATATGTTTCCAGTGGAGGTGCACGAGTGAGCCGCGTCGGCGAGCATGACGCTGCAGTCGAGGGCCCTCTGCAGGACCCGCACCTCTGGCGCCTAGGGGTCCGTGATGTCGTCTGCAGTCACGCGTCTCTCCAGGATCTCTCCCCGAAACACGTTTGCCTTCTCCGTCTGGGCCTCATAGAACGTTTCGCCTACTTGTATAGGCGGCCTGAACGGACTCGCCTTCTCAGCCACCGCATGATATTGCATACCGGTACATCATCGTCGCTCTCGGCGCCTTCCAGAACCATATTGACTTGCCGATATTGCTGAGAACCGATGTTCCTTACGGCGTACTTTTCGATTTTGGTGAGCCGCACGAGTTGGCCGTGTGAGCACCTGGGTCTGGCAGGGAGTGTTGCAAATGTGGAAGTCTGATCCCGAATCCATGATGAACGAGTCACGGAGTGGATAGACTGGTGTTGTTGAGAAGGCTGATTTGATCTGCGAGTCGGGTGGCTGCTCTGGCTGTTGTTCCTTCTCGCCTTGGTTCTTTTCGACCTTGGCTCTGAGTCCAGCGAAGGCAGTACCGGTACCTTTAACTTCTGGTGATTCCTGTCGAGACTCTTCTTCCTTCTTCTTACGGTTCCTGATGGACCGTTCGACTTTGCCCTTGATAGTAGGGTCTTTGAGCTTCTGATCGATTTCTTCCCGGACTTTGCTGTCCGGAGACCATCCTTCAGGTCGTACCGAGTCAGAGAGATATGGGCATTCTGAGTAGAAATGCCTGTGACCGCAGAGGCACGGTGGCTTTCCTCCTTGGTTCCTGTTGGGTTTTGATGCTCGGGTTGTACCGGATGAATCGGGCTCTCCTTCACCTTGGAAGGTGGACAGGGTGGCAAACCACTCAATCCCAGCAACGGTTGCTCAATATAGTTGAGCAACCGTCAACTCAATCAACTCAATCGAGTGTCTGCTGAATAAGCTTGTCAATTCAATTCATGCTCCCGTTGATTGATGGATTGATGAGATTGCCGTTGACGGTCAGGGATCCTGTAGGGTAGGTGGCCAAGGCGAAATGTAGGTACGGATTGGGTATATAGCTACCACTAACCTTACAGGTTACTCAGGCCCGTTGTAGGTAAGCCTGCTCTCCTCTTCGGGAACAGGGCCCCTGTTCCGTTGGAAGAGTCGACGCGCTGCGCGCATCGACGCGCTTCACAACAAAGTTCAATCTCTCGCCTCAGTTCCACTTACACTTCTCGATTCTTCCACAACGCCTTGGCTGATCTAAACATTCCTATATGCAATGAGCGAATCTCCTGAGCCTTCTTCTACTCCCTTGCCGCCATCAGGCGATTCAGGCGACTCAGGCCCCGTTCCCCATCTCGAGTGGGATGCCTTCCCCTGGCATCACTTCCGCGGCTATACCAAGTCTCAACGCGCCGGCAAGCTCAAATCGTGGATCTGGAGCTTTGGGTTCGACATTGAACATCAAGCTAACGTAGATAATCGCCTCTGGGTCTGTGAGCGGTGTTTACCGAAGAAATCGCCGAAGGGACCCGTGAGCTTCGCGGCAAAGGGGACCCTAAACATTGAGCGCCATCTACATGATGCTCACAATGTTATTGACCCATCAGGTAGACGGTTACCGAAGGGTTCTACAACCAACAAGCGTTCTATTGCCCAATTCTTCAACCTCGATGCCAATGACCAGAAGGAGCAAGCATTCATTAACAAGCTAAAAAACCAATTCGATAAAGATGTCTTCCAATCTCTCTTGCTTGCTTGGATCACCGAGTCGAATGTTGCCTTCCGCGCAGTTGAAGCCCCTCGATTCCGGCGTCTTCTCGAATACCTCAATCCCTCGATCGCCCTGACTCAAGCCCACATGACACACTCGACTATTCGAACGAAGCTTTTCCAAGAATACCACCAGTACAAGCATATTGTGATAAAGGAACTGAGGAGCGCCCCGGCAGATACACCTTGCGTTTGACGGCTGGAGATCGCCCAATCGCTATGCGCTTAATGGGATTGCTGCGTTCTATCTCTCTAAGGAAAAGCGGCCACAGAAGATCATCCTTGGGCTCCTGAACTCCGAGAGTCTCATACTGGCGAGAATATAGCGTCGCAGGTGGCGGAAGTGATCGAATCATTCGAGATTCAAGACAAGATCGGGTATTTCACGCTTGACAATGCGAAGAATAACGATACGGCGGTAGGAACACTGGGAGACGGTTTTTAATTTTTAAGGAAGCAGAGACGGGTCCGCTGCTTTGGGCATATCATCAATCTCGTGGCCAAAGCGCTGCTCTTTGGCAAAGATAATGAAGTCTTCAAATCAGAAGAGCGACTCGACCTGGACCTTGCTCGACATGATCTCTGGCGGAAGAGGGGGCCTATTGGCAAGCTCCACAACCTTGTCCACTGGATTCATCAATCGGATAGGTTAACGTACATGCTTCGGGATCTACAACGCAAGAGGGACAGTACGAAGAAACCAGTTGACGTTCTAACGGATAACATGACACGATGGTTGTCCCATTATAAGATGATGGATCGAGCCCTTCTACTGCACGACTTTCTTGACGACCTCGTCGCATTGGAACAGTTCGAATATACCCGAAGCAGGTCAAAGAAGAAAGACATGCCTGCATGCCTCCGAGATTCTGACCTGCTGACCGGTAACGACTGGACAGTGATCAGCCACTTTCGGAATATTCTTAAGCACTTCGAAAATGCCATCAAGGCCCTCGAGGAGATGCCCAGATTCGGGTGCGTAAGGGCGGCAACCTCGTGGCATACGGAACAGCATGGGATATTATCCAAGCATTCGAATATCTCCTTGAACGATTGGAAGAGGCAAAGGAATTCGCCAAGGATGTGCCTGATTCCGAGCATTTCGCGATAAACGTCGAATTGGGGTGGAAGAAGTTGGAGAAATACTATATCAAGTTGGTTGAGTGCCCGGTATATTATGCTGCAGTCGCTCTCCATCCCGCCTTGCGACTGCAATGGTTTGAGGAGGCTTGGGCTCATCGACCTGAATGGGTCCTTGAGGCACGACGGATTGTTCGGGGCATCTGGGAACGCGACTATAAGTCATTAATTCTCAGCGATGACGAGGCTATTCCGATGGTTAAACGTCGAAAGGTTGACGACTTGAACGAGTTCCAACAGTTCCGACTGAGGCACCGGCTACAAGCTGGTCAGACGGCCACAACCCGTCGTGGGCCACCTACTGCCGATGAATTCGATCGCTGGACTGTTGATATCGGCGCAGATGACGGAGACATCACGGATCCGTTCCAATACTGGCAACTCAAAGAGTCAACGTATCCCAGACTTGCTCGAATGGCCTTTGATATGCTATCTATACCGCCAATGTCAGCAGAGTGCGAGAGGGCGTTCTCATTTGCTGGGCTAATGGTCACACGACTACGCAGCCGGCTTCAGGCTAACACGATCAATGCAGGCCAGGCAATTCGGTCTTGGCTGAAGGCAGGGCTAATACCCGACTACCAGGGGATTATTGATGCTTCAGTCGATGACGATGTCTTCCCGAAGAGGTGCCCCACGAAGGACGAGAAGTTGATGGTGTTGAGGACCTTAAGTAGCTTACTAATAGGTAGGGTAGGGCATCAACTCCATCAATCAACGCAATCAATTCAACGAGGGCTTGGATTGCTCAACTCAACGAGAGGTTCGCTGATGTAAGCCGTCAATCTACTCAATTTGACTCTTTGGTTGAGTTGATTGAGTGGTTTGCCACCCTGAAGGTGGAAAATGCACCTTTGGTGTTGGAGTTGCTGGTGGTTGATCGATACGATCGTTCGAAGATCTCACTGATCTTGATTCCGTCAGGGAAAGTCTTTTGCCACTCGTCGTCCGGATTGGACAGGGCATTTGCTTCTATCTGATTGATCCAGACTTTGGAGAAGGTCGAGTCGATTGCGTTCATAGCTTTGAGGAAATGGCGAGTTGGTCGCAGGTCTTTCACGTCGGGTAGGGGGTGGATCGGCTTCCGCTGCTGGCGAACGGCCTTTCCGGCGTCCTCATCCAAGCACTCATGGAAGACCGAGTCCACGTAGCGCACCACTCGGGCACGGTACTCGTGCTCTCGAGGGTCGGCGATGTCGTCGATGAGCGACGGCAGCTCTATGTTGCCGTGCAACCACAGGAGTCCGTGCAGGTGCAGGCTGCCACGATCGTTCGTCTCCACCGTTGCATAATAGTGGCTTACCTTTCCGAAGATCGACTCTTGGCCTGTTCGGACGTATTTTTCGAAGAAGAGAGATATTTCTTATTAGAAGAAGATAGTAGAGCTGACCGGGTCTATGATATTGAGGGCAATCCTGTCGTATTTCCCTCGGAGATCCGCTAATAGGTCCTTCGCCGCGTAATAGTCGTGGAGCCTATGGATAGAGAGCCGTATCTTGACCGGGTTGTTGATGTCGTTGGGGTTAATGGAGAACTAAATTACGGGTGTGCCGGTCTAGATATTAATTGCTTATATCTTCCTACGCATAAGCAGTCGCGTTTCGTTGGAGAGCGGCTACGCATGGCCGAAGATAGATAACTCCCGGAGCAGGAACGCCACGTCGGGGTCCGTCGTCTTCCTTATTTCTCGTATCTCGTCCTCGGCCTTCTTTAGTCGGTCCGCTATTAGGGTTTCGTAAACTCGTTTAACCCTCTCGAAAGAGCCCTTTATCGTGCGTATTATGCCGATACGGCGGTTAGAAGAGCGGAGGAGGATATTAAAGACGAGAAAACAAAAGACGGGGTGGCTGGCAAACCGTCCCCTATATCGCTGTAGCACGTATCTGGCCCAGTAACTAAGCGAGTGGTTTAGGTTTATATGGAGCCCGGCGGCCGCCGGAGCCTGCTGCTGCTAGAGGTCCGACGCGTGCAGCGCCTTCGGGCCACCTCTGCCCTAGGGGAAAAGCTTCGGGAAGGTACGCGGGAAGAAGTCCTCGTGTAGGCTGTCCGCAAAGTCTGCACCTCGTTCCACCAGGATGAACGGCTACGCTCCCGTGCCCTAGACGTGCATCGCGCACGGCTCAGCCTCGTCGGCACCTCGAGCCCGGATCGTCCGGATAGCGCCGGCTAGAAATAAAAGCTTATTAGCCTCTTCGAAAGCTACTAGCCCGTTAAGAGGAAATATCCCGGACGATGTCGTTTCTAGGATAATATTACTATTACTACCGGCACCCTCTGGTCCTAGGGTAGAGGTACGGGCGTCACCCGATAAGCGCGGGTCCTATTTATTCGGTAGAGTACCCTCGGTAAGGCTAGAGTCGCGACCGGACTAAGCTTACGCCGACGTAATAATCTCTTTAATGCTTATAAACCGGTTCTCCTCTAAACCTCGATCGGTATCTAGGACTATATAGTCTATCTACGTCCTCTCGGCAACGGACGGCTCGTCCTACTATATACTGTCTATAATAAGGATAGGGATATTAGAGCCGTCTGCGTACTCCTAGCTATCTATCTCGCTATAATCGATCGCGATATACTCGTAGAGCGGATTATTCTTCTAGAGCTACGATAGGGCGTCCCTCACGCAGGACTTACGTACTTAGAGAAGGTGGCCAACGTCGGCAGCGCTAGGTTTGCTAGAGCCACTCTAAGAGACGTGGATGTTCTCGATAGTTTCTAAAAGAGGGTAAGGGAGGACTATAGCAACGAGGTCCTCTACCTTATTCGGAAAGACCACGATATAGCCCTTAACGTGCTTCCGGTAGCTAAGGCCTAACGGGGTCTTATTATCGACGATAAACTTCGTAATATAGCTAAATAAGGCCTATAGAGCAATTAGCCTTTCCTTAACGGGAGAGAGGCCGTTAAGTGCTTTAGGATACCGGTGCTCGCATCTAATATATATATTATTAACGGCATAGGTCTTCGGCAGCTTCCCCTTCTTTAAAGTAGCGGAGCATTCGTGGCAAACTATAGCTTTAGCGTCGTCGCTAGCGGGGAAATAGTCCGTGCACTCCTAGAGCGCCGTCGTAGCCTGCAGCAACGGGGCGGACAGGCGCGTCCTCCAGCGGATCGTGGTGAGCTCGGACGGGGGTTACTTCCTATAGCAAAAGCTATAGTGCGAAATCGGCAACGTCCTTTCGTCGGCGAATGCCTAGTAGAAGGACTTCGCAGTCTCTACCTAGAGGGCTAGTAGGACCTCTTTATACTAAGATCTTATTAGCGATTCCTTCTCTTTATCGCGAAAACGAGATTTATAGTGTTTAAGAATGGTCTTGAGGGACTCTCGTTAGAGCCGGGCGTTGTCGTGCGACGGCCTCGTTCTTTTCCGGGGTCGGTCCGGCCTCGTAGGTAGCGGAGTCGGAAGTCCTTCCGTTTATAGGTCCCGGGCGCGTTTTCGAGGGGAGGGGGTGTGCGGAATCGGTCGTATAGGCGGCGGAGGTCGATGCCTCGGGCAGTCTTCGGACGGGGAACCCTATAGGTCACGGACCATTCCCTCGGGAATGACGAGTGGCAGCGTCGGCGGCGTCTCTTCGCGCTCGTCCGCCTGCTCCTGCATTCGTAGCCTTGCGGCTCTTGCCCGTGAGCGTCCCTCGGCCTATTCTTGCGTGATAGCGGCCATCGTGCGGGCGAGCTCATCTTCCGGAACGGTAACCCTATGCTGTCGAGGTAGGCGTCGTCGGTTGTTCCGACGTTCTAGGACTTCTAAAATACGTCGCCGTTCTAGGACTTCTAAAGTACATCGCACCTCGTTAGGGGAAACTCTAACCGGCTCTCGGCGGGACATCGTCGAGGTAGTCGTGGAAAGATCTGCTGGTACCATAAATGCCCAGGCGAGGGCAGCCGAGAGATGATTTTTACGTAGGCCACATAGCCCACCATCGCACCGAGGCGGCCGTCGTCGAGAAGGCGGGGGTCTACTACAGTCATGGCGGCTTCCTCGCCGGCCCGGCAGCAGCAGAGTGAGGCGGCAGTGTCACTTGCGTAGTCGGCCGCATCCGCCTGAGCGAAGTTGTCCATGGCGTCGCGAACTTGGAGGCGATCAGATACTGAAGAAACGTCTTGGGCGTGTCGAAGTCGGCAATCTTGGTACGGGAACGACCGCAACGACGGAACAGGGCGTCATTGCCGTAGAAATTGGGACACTGCAAAGCGCGACGAGGCCCTGATAAAATAGTCTGGCGCATCACGGCGCGATTCATACGCATGCAAGCGTGAATTCGGTTCAGTAAAGCGCTCAAGAGACTGCAGCTCTTTGTTCCGGCTCGCTATTGGTCAAGTTGGTCAGATTATGGCCAAAATCGGGCGTCCCAGAATGAGCTTGACGCCCAATCACATCCCTCAAGGTTAGATGATTGGAAGCCGGTGGCTTGCTTCATCAAGTCTAGTCGAGCGGTAAAGTTCCGTGATCGTGAAGCGGTCTGGCGATTGGAGAGCGCAATAAATATTGCACGTCTGATCTGCTTTTACCTTGTCGCGTCTGTTTCGTGTTTGTCGGCGGGGGACAAAGGTGAACTGAGGAAACGCTTCAACGTCAAGTTCTGCCTAGCAGAGTATGGGAAGTGTGACCAGATGCTACCCTACAGACATGAGATGAAAGCTACTCATACATGTCGACCTCAAGAGGCGTTACGGCTTCGCGACCAAGCGTCTGGCGAGGTCAACTAGGGGCTGCCAGGCCCCCACAGCTACTGCTGATCTGATCACAGACAGCGTTTCCCATTAGACCTGGACGTCCCGCTGACGGGCAACAGGCTTACCAAGAGCGCCGTTGAGCCGATGAAATGCTGGATAGCGGGTGAAATGTGTGATATGTAGCATGTAGATACCCACTAGCTCAGCACGTCCTGTGCTCCCTCGCGGAGACCTGAGCGGCCAAAGCTGCTAGACGGAAAATACACTAAACTAAACTAAACTAAACGCAGAGGCTCGTTCTGCCCTGGCAACACTTGGATATCTCGTAAGAGCTAGATGGTTTGTAAAATTAAGCAAGAACGCATCTAGCCGTTTTAATTAGCGATTGACTTATTGTAAGTAGGCCAGGAATTACGTTTATGGTCGAACGTCTAAGTTTAGCTCTATCACACTCGTTACACTCGTCACACTGACAGCGACACTGATAGTGCGCGGCGCTCGCACTGAACTATGGGGCAGTTTGACGGGAGCCGCACTGAACCAGCAGTTTGGAGGGGGAGGCCTCACTGAACCAGCAGTGCGTTGCCAAACGGTTATACTGCACTGGCAGTGTGCTGACTAAGCGGTACAAACTGCAGTGTGCACTAATAGTGCGCTAAACGGTCTGCACTATTAGGAGCGCTGTACGGGAGCTGGAAGAGACGTGGGGAAGCCGCTGGCGCCCGGGGAACGGGGTCAGAGTGCAGTTCTGTCGCCGGAAGGTGATCTGGGACGAGCTGTTGGCCCGTATGGCGTCCGGCAAATGCAAGGAGGCGGCCGTTGCAGAGCTAGAGCTGTTACACGCCGGCCGAAGCTTGAACCGACTCGTCGACGAGCTCAAACAGCGCCGACGGCGGGGCCAGGATCGGGGCCAGGGCCAGGGCCAGGACCAGATACGGGTACAGGTAGAGACCTCCGTGCCCGATGACCCAGGTCCAGGCCCGGGACCAGGTCCAACTCGAGGTCAGGGCCGTCGGGGGCGGAGGACCCGGCTGGGAAAGCGGACCGCCCCTCGTCGACGTAAGCCAGCTGCCTCGTAGAGTCTTTATACATATTTATATCCATTCAACTAGACATATTTTTAAGGATCAAAGGGCCGTAGGATCAGTGCATTACTATCTCGCAGTTCCTGTAGCCGAGCCTAGCCCCCCATTACCCATTCGCGGCGCTGCAACGCAAATATCTCGACGGACAGTAGCCTATACGGAGTGCTCCTCGACCAAACGCGCCGCCGGAGTGTAGTAGTCCCCCAGGCCCCGGAATGGCCTCGATTGAGCTCCTGGCCGTGGAGATATTCGCGTGCGCGGCGCCAGGCACTTATCAAATTTACCGGTAATACCATAGTATCAAGTTTTTGTCAAACCATACTAGGTCTTGGCGGTATTTACCATACCAATACCAACTCATACTGGACCATTCCGATTACTGGCCACAGCATCGCCGGGCTGCTTGCAGTCGTGGTGGCGGGATTGGAGGCGGCACGACGTTTTCCGCGAACCTTCTGCGCCCCTAACAGCTACAATAATGCAGTGGAACAGTGCTGGTTTGCGATCCAGGGTGGCACCCACTGCTATCTCGCAAAAGCTAAAAGGCGGGTCGCCCGCTGCCGGTGCCGGGCAGGATGACGCGTTGCAACTAAATTACTAAAAGTCTCTAGGAGAGCCGAAGGCTACGTGAATTTTCCGTTATTGCTTGCGATGGTAGAGACGCAGAGACGCGAAGAGCACCGCTTGCTCGATTAGCAAAGCTCCGAAATTAAGGAGCCATTATATATTAGCACTTTAGCAAGTATATCGTAATATATATAGAATAGCAGACACTACCTTATCCCTCTATCGCCTTGATATTATTAATAGCCTTGTTAAATGCTTTAATGATTGGCCTATAGATAATCTCCGGATCCTTCGGTGTCCCGACAAAGAGCCCATCCCTGTAAGGGAATAAGATTCCCCGCAACTCTCTGCAAAGCGGCTTCACACAATCAAATTCTAGCGGGAACTCCCTTAAGATGAATCCAAATCCCATATCTTCTGCTTTGCTCATATGACTAAGCTTGACAGTCGCAATGTCCTCGTAGTTGCCTATATACTATGCGCGTAGTTTGCTATTAGAATAGTCTATCGGCTTTTCTAGAAATTCCTAGCCACGACGGACGCATTGCTAGATAAGAACATAAAAGAAAGATTCGAGATTATAGCGATAGGTGTGAGAGATCCCAAGCAGCACCTCGATAGCCATGAACTCTATCGTGCCAGTGCGACAGCGTGCGCCGCTGCGCCCGCTGCCCAGCTCCTTAGCAAGGTCTAGGTCGATCAGCATACCTATATAGCTAGTCGTTTCGCGGTCGGTTATAATAATATTGTTCTCGGAAATGTCCTAGTGTAGGATGTTGCCTTTAAGGTATAGGGACCTATGTGCCTTGATAGTATCGCGAAGCGCCCTTAGAAGCTCCGATATCTTTTCGTACTTATGGATCGCCCGGCCAGCGGGGGAGATTACTAGACATCGAAAGACTCTATTATTATAGGGTCCGCTATTAGGAGCGAGCAGACTTATTCCTTAGGTTCCTTCTATATCGTACGTAACTTCGTTTTATTTTTAGCTCGACTTTTAACTATTAGACCTTAATCGCTTAGAGGGTTTTAGGCTAACGTTAGCCGACTTACGCTTTCTTAACGGTCTATTAGCGATGCTTAAGCTAGGAATCTCGCTAAATAACCGAGAGGGGGCACTAGGAGGCTAAGACCGGGAGAAAGACTGCGAAAAAGCCGACGCAGTGCTTAGAGCACCTCGAAAGGTATAAGGTTTTATAAATATTAGGCCTAATCGCATCTTATTAATACTAGTTATATAACGATGGCCGATTAAGTCGGCAATGCCCTTAACTCCTCTCTAACGGGCTAATCTAAGAAGGTCTGCCTCTAGCTTTCGCCTATTAGACGTCTACGAGAACTTAACGATATAGCTCTAACCCTCGAAGTCCGGAGACTTCGTAAGATAGTAAGACGTCCTATAGTAGACGACCGCCCGTTAACGAGTAAAAGGCTATAACTCTAACCGTAGCCTCTTCCTGCCTAAAGTCCTATCTTAGTTAACGTATATAAAGCGATTGTTGCTATCTAGCTCTATAAATATATCTAACCCTAGTTCTTCGTTATCTATTATTACGTAGCCGGCGATTACCTATATAAACCGTTCGGGCTTATTATAGATATCGAACGCGCTAGGACTATAATATCCCGAGCGGTTAAATACCTAAACTTCTATCTCGCGCCCGTAGATTGTAAATACGTAAACGTACCGACGTATTAGCTAGTAGGAGAAGATATCTCGCACGTATCGGCCGATCTAGAGAAGCGTCGCCTTTTTATTATTATTCGACGCCTTAAGCTCGCTAATTACTTCGATATCCCTCTAGTCGTGCGCGGCATCTAGCGGCTGCCTATTCTTTCGCTTAATAAAGAGATCGATCTATCGCTGAGCTTCGGCACCGATAAGATCCTTTAGGTTCGTGGTCGAATAGTAGCGGCGTCGTTCCTCCGAGAAGAAGTTATCCTAGAATCGGAACCACTAGTCTAGAACTCTATCCTATACGGGCGGATTAGGAAGGCCGGTCTACGCGCTATTAACGTATTAGTCCTTTATCGCCTTATAGATGCCTAAGGCATGGCTTATCTAAGTTTTCCCCTCGAAGTATTTCTTAAAGAATCCTTCTACGTCGCGGTATATATAAAATCGGATCTCCTTAAAGACTTTTCTTTCTACCACGTTACGTGTCTATTCGGCACCTTGCTAGGAAGCGGAGGAGTAGGTAATTAGCGTGCCGTCGAATGTAATCGGGACGCTTGTAGGAGGCGTTACTCGGGTAAGAGTGGCGATAAGATTAAGCACGGCGCTCTAGGTCTTAGAGTCGGACGCCTTTTAAGTGACGAGGTTAACTAGTGCAAAGAAATAACCGTAATAGAACTAGTCTTAACGAAGATGCCCTAGGATAGTTGCGAGTTCGGATGCTACGTTTCGATTGCTAAGAGGTAAGTAGAGATTAAGGGCTATTTTATACCCTATTAAAGCAGTTAGTAGTCGCGATATCGCCTTTTTGCGACCTTCTTTAGAGTCCTTAGTAATATTACTATAAGAACTAGAGATAGAGGCATAAGACTGCTCTGCATCCTAGAGCGACTTCCGGAGGTGGCATAGAGAGCTGCCTAAGGGGTGCCGCGCGATTATATCGCGATCGTGTTTAGATAGAGTAGCCATTTAATTCGGCAGCATGCAGAAAGCGCGACGATGCTACGATGAGGTGTGGTCGACCGGTTTAGTAAACATCACCGCGAGAGAAGATATTA